CATGCCTGTAATCCCAGCTACTTGGGAGGCTGAGGCAGGAAAATTGCTTGAACCCAGCAGGCAGAGGTTGCACCGAGCTGAGATCAGGCCACTGCACTCCAGCCTGGGCAATAGAGTGAGACTCCGTCTCAAAACAACAACAAAAAAATAAGATATTTTTCTTTCTTGGACAAACCAGATAAGCCCTATCAAATTCTAGTTCTTTGACCTCTCTTTTATAGATCACAAGCAGAAATTTCCTTTTCTATAGAAAACATTTTCCTTACATGTGAACTCCATCTCTACTAAAAATACAAAAAACCCGTTTCTTACCAGCTCTACCACTTACACTATGTGACTTGGACAAGTCACTGAATTCTCTGGGACTCTGTTTCTTCATCTGTGGAGTATCATACCCACCTCATGGATTGTAATGAAATAAAATGTATATAAAAACAAGGACAGGCTGGGCACAGTGGCTAATGCCTGTAAGCCCTTATTTGCCAAAAGGTACTTGAACTATGTGCTAGTACCTTCCTTTCCATTTCATTCCTTTTTTCTTTTTTTTCTCTCATGATCTCTCATGCTTTTTTCCTGACTTTTCTTGCTACTGTAGTCTTTATCTTGCTTTTATTCATAGAGTTGACTGCTTTCTATTTGATATGTTCCAACTGCCATTTTTTTCTTTTCACCCTTGACCCAAATTTGATTTCTAATTATGCAAGATAAACAAGAACGCCAAACTTACTGCTCTTTGACTGCTTAAAACATGGAAATAAAAGAATAAAAATATAAAAAAAAGAAAAAAACATGGAAATAATTTGAGTTTTAGAGAATATTTTTTTCTTCCAGTTATAAAAGAAAACTTTGAAAAAAATAAATAAATAAACTAGAAAAGAGAAAATAATAGTGCCTTAGTCTACCACCTCAAGAAATCACCCTTGCTGTGTTCCTCTATCTTTCCCCATGCATGTGTGTTTATATGTTTTGAGCTTGGATAATGCTATGATGATTACCATACATCTTCAATAGACTTGGATCACGGCCTCAGCTTGGTTAGAAATGCATTGTGTGGGTGAGGTGTGGTGGCTCATGCCTGTAATCCCAATACTTTGGGAGGCCAAAGCAGGCATACTGTTTGAGCTCAGGAGTTTGAGACCAGCCTGGGCAATATGGGGAAACCAGTCTCTACAAAAAATACTAAAATTAGCTGGGCATGGTAGCATGCGCCTGTAGTCCCAGCTGTTCATATTCAGCAGGCTGAGGTGGAAGGATCAGGTATGCCTTGGAGGTCAAGGCTGCAGTGAGCTCTGATAGTGCCACTGCACTCCAGCCTGGGCAACAGAGTGAGAGTCTTTCTAAAAAAAACAAACACAGAAAAAGAAAAAAAAGCATTGTACGATTTTAAATAGATCTTTATAGGTGTTAGGTGTTCAAAAGTGTTTGTTAAATGAAATGATTGAATCATTACTCTTCTCTGTGCCTCAGTTTTCCCATTTCTTAAGTAAGGAAAAAATAATTTACAAGGTGTTTTATGAGGATCAGTCAAAAACAAACTGTAAATGTTGAAAGTGGCTAGGTCTTGTCAAAACTTTCCTGGCTGTCTGTTATATCACTTTTTTCCCAGAGGCTACTACTTGAGAAGAGGCAAAGGAAAAAGCGCCTTGAGCCGTTTATGGTGCAACCCAATCCGGAAGCCAGGCTACGTCGGGCAAAGCCAAGGGCCAATGAGGAGCAGACTCCCTTGGTGAACTGTCGTGCTCCCCACAGCAATGTCGTCTTACATGGTGTGTATTTAGGCAGCATTACTTCCTGCTGGGGTACAATTTTCACAAACCTAGAAGGTAGGAGAATTCTCAGATGGACCAAAGGGATAATATTAGTACCGTTACTGGGTACCTTCTTAAATTTTTATAATCACATTTGGGGTCTTTGAAGAGAATAAAATAAATGATGTAATCAATGGAAGCCTTAACATATGTGTCCATTTTAGAACTGTTTTCTTTTTCCTGAGATGGAGTTTTGCTTTGTTGCCTGCCGGAATGCAATGGCATGATCTTGGCCCACTGCAGCCTCCTCCCAGATTCAAGCGATTCTCCTGCCTCAACCTCCCGAGTAGCTGCGATTACAGGTGCCCGCCACCACACCTGGCTATTTTTTTAAATATTTTTAGTAGAGATGGGGTTTCACCATGTTGGCCAGACTGGTCTCAAACTCCTGACCTCGGGTGATCCACCCACCTTGGCCTCCCAAAGTGCTGGGATTATAGGCATGAGCCACTGCGCCCAGCCAGAAAGGTTGTTTTCTAGATGTCAGATGAATGAATTTAGAATGACCTATTCGAGGAGCTTTTGATTGTTAAATCATGGCAGAGGTGAATCATGAAACCAGGAATAGGTAGAAAGCATTCATTCTTCTGATAGATAGTTCAAAGGACCATCTGAGATGGTGAGGAGGCAGAGGAAGAATAAGATTATAAGAGCTTTTAAATAAAGCCACCTGAGCTATTGCCTTGGACAGGATCTGTACTATAGAGTACTACTTTGTTTTCTTGGTCTTATTCTTAAGTTTCTGAAGTATAGCCTCAGGTACATATCACCTTGGTAACAGAGCGTGTTAATGGAATGGACACCAGGCTGGATGGGCGTGGTGGCTTATGCCTGTGATCCTAGCACTTTGGGAGGCCGAGGCAGGCAGATCACTTGAGGCCAGGTGTTTGAGACTAGGCTGGGAAACATAACAAGACTCCGTTTCTACAGAAAATTTAAAAATTAGCCAGGTGTAATAGCACACACCTTTAGTCCCAGCTACTCAGGGAGCTGAAGTGGGAGGATTACTTGAGCCCAGGAAGTCGAGGCTACAGTGAGCTGTGATTACACCTCTGCTCTCCAGCCTGGGTGACACAGTGAGATCCTGTCTCAGAAAAAAAGAACACCAGTTCTGACCTACTCTCTTAAGAAATGTTCTTATGGATGTTAAGAAAGGAGGGGAGATAAAATGACTTAGAAGTTTTTAATTCTGATTACATATGCCAAATCTACCCAACTAAATAGTGAATAATATTTAGCTCCTTTTTTAAAATTTATTTTATTTTGGCCCCTAGGTATTGATGGTCCAGCTGCTGTCCTGAAACCAGATGGAGTTCATGCTCCGTTAGTAAGCTCCCCTGTTTTGGAAGAAGATACTGAAAACACCGTGGCTAGTGCTTCCAAGCCAGGACTTAAGGAGACTCTCCAAAAGCATGGTGAGGACTGGTAATGATTTTAAGGCAATTTTTCTTCTTACTCATTTGTAAGCTTTTTCTTTTCTTTCATTGTAGTTAACAATCTACATGACTCAAAATTACTCATGGTTTAGGGCCACACAGAGGTGACAGTATTAAGCATCTTTTACATCTGAATATTGGTCATTTTCAGCAATGGTAGTATTTATACTATTGCCTGAGAAAAATAAGGTAATTAAATATAAAATATTAGCTACCATAGATGACTGTTTCTCTCTTTTTAACTATTTTCAGTTCCCACCCTTTTCTGACAGAGTTGTCACTCAACCCCCTCTACTCTGCCTCCACTTGATAGTTTGTGATGATTGGCAGCCTTTCTGCTAGTTGGAGCTCTCATTTCCATAAATATTCCCATACATTTCAAAGATCCCTTGTAGTCTTCTTTCCTTTTTAGAAAAATAATTTTATAATGAGAAGGGGTCAAGCATCCCCTTTTCAGATGAGAAAACTGAAGCCCAATAATGAATAAATATCCACTGGGTACCTACTTTGCATCAGGCAAATATTGCTAGGTCCTGGGATATATAAATCAGGAGAGCCTATCACAGAATGGTAGAATAGATGAACGTTTAAACAAATTCATATATTCAGTTATTTAGAAATTATGTTTTGGCCGGGTGTAGTGGCTCATGCCTGTAATCCCAACACTTTTAGAGGCCGAGGTGAGTGGATCACCCTGAAGGTCAGGAGTTCAAGACCAACCTGGCCAACATGATGAAACCCCATCTCTCCTAAAAATAGAAAAAGATTAGTCAGTTGTGGTGGTAGGTACCTGTAATCCCAGCTACTTGGGAGGCTGAGGCAGGAGAATCACTTGAACCCAGGAGGTGGAGGTGGCAGTGAGCCAAGATTGCACCATTGTACTCCAGCCTGGGCAACAAGAGTGAAACTTCTCAAAAAAAAAAAAAAAAAAAAAAAGTATGTTTTGAGGCCAGGCATGTTGGCCCACTCCTGTAATCCTAACACTTTGGGAGGCTGAGGCAGGCAGGTCACTTGAGTCCAGGGGCTCAAGACCAGCCTGGGAAACATGGAGAAACAGCTCTACAAAAAACGCAGGAAGAAAAAAAAATTGGCCAGGTGCAGTGGCGCACACCTGTAGTTGCAGCTGCTTGAGGGGCTGAGGCAGAAAGATGGAGCCTGGGAAGCAGAGGTTGCACTAAGCTTGAGATCGCACTGCTGCACTCCTGCCTGGGTGGCAGATCCTGTCTCAACCAAAAAAAAAAAAAAAAAGTAAAGAAAGAAGATATGTTTTGAGTATATACCACATCTCAGGCATTATTCTAGGTACTTAGGATACAAGAGTAAACATGGTTCCTGCCCTCATGAAGCTTCATGCACTTAAATAGGCTAGAGCTAGAAAATCAAGGTGCTGAGAGAGCCTGAAAACCTCACTTGGAGGTTTGGGAACCTTTCCAGAGAAAGTGATATCTGAGCTAGTGCCTGACATGGGAAGAGGTGCTGGCCAGTTCAGAATGGCAGCAGCCCAGGGTATGTGGTCATAGGGAAGGAAGGGGGAGGTAGAGAGATGAGCCAGGAGAGGGAAGTGGGCTGTAATTATATGGGACCTAATAGACCACATGAGGAATTGGGACTTTAAGGAGTAATAGAAGGCTGGGCACAGTGGCTCACACCTGTAATCCCAGCACTTTAAGAGACCAAGTTGGGAGGCTCGTTTGAAGTTAGGTGTTGACCAGCCAGGGCAACATAGCAAGACCCAGTCTCTACCAAAAAGAAATTCTGTAATTAGCTGGGGACGGTAGTACACGCTGGTAGGCCCAGCTACTTGAGAGGTTGTGGTGGGAGGATTGCTCGAGCCCAGGTTATTAAGGATGCAGTGAGCTAAGATCATGCCACATCACTTTAGCCTGGGTGACAGAATGAAACCATGTCTCTAAAAATTAAAAAAAAAAATTTTGGGTTGGGCAGAGTGGCTCATGCCCATAATGCCAGCACTCTGAGAGGCTGAGGTGGGAGGAGCCTGGGAGCCTGGGAGTTTGAGGCTGCAGTGCGCCAAGATTGTGCTGCTGCACTCTAGCCTGTGTGTAGAGTAAGACCCTTTTTAAAAAAAAATCAATAAAAATTAATTTAAAAAAAATAAAAATAACCTGTGAGGGACTTTTTGTTTTTTGAGATGGAGTCCCATACTGTCACCTGGGCTGCAGTACAGTGGCGCAAACTCGGCTCATTGCAACCTCTGCCTCCTGGGTTCGAGTAGTTTTCCTGCCTCAGCCTCGAGAGTAGCTGGGATTACAGACGCACACCACCACCCCTGGCTAATTTTTGTGTTTTTATTAGAGGCAGGTTTTCACCATGTTGGCCAGGCTGGTCTTGAACTCGTGACCTTAGGTGATCCACCAGTCTTGGCCTCCCAAAGTGCTGGGATTACAGGCATGAGCCACTGCGCCCGGCTGTTCCTCTGGTTCTTTTGATGACCTGAAAATGGCATTTTGCAAATATAGAAATAGGTGTACATATCCACATGATAGTGATATCTCAAGAGTTTTCTGCCTTTTTGCTAGCAAATAAAAGCAGGGGTGCCAGGCGTGGTGGCTCATGTCTGTAATCCCAGCACTTTGGGAGCCGAGGTGCGCGGATCGCTTGAACTCAGGAGTTTGAGATCAGTCTGGGCAACTTGGTGAAACCCTGTCTCTAATAAAATTAGCTGGACATGGTGTAGTCCCAGCTAGTCAGGAGGCTGAGATGTGAGGATTGCTTAAGCCCGGGAAGTTGAGGCTACAGTGAGCAGCTGTGATTCAGCCACTGCACTCCAACCTGGGCAACAGAGTGAAACCCTGTCTCAAATAAGAAGCAGCAGCAGCTAAACTTTCAGAGAGCAGAAGGAAAAATGTCCTTCACAAACCAAATAATTTTTTAAAGTAATAGTTCTTTTGAGACATAAATTACAGAACATAAAACTCATCCATTTAAAGTGAACAATAGGCTGGGTATTCATCACGTCTGTAATCCTAGCACTTTGGGAGGCAGAGGTGGGCGGATCACCTGAGGTTGGGAGTTTGAGACCAGCCTGGCCAAAATGCTGAGACCCTGTCTCCACTAAAAATACGAAAAAAATTAGCTGGATTTGGTGGCGGGCGTCTGTAATCCCAGCTATTTAGGAAGCTGAGGCAGCAGAATCGCTTGAACCCCAGGGGCAGAGGTTGCAGTGAGCAGAGATCGCACCAGTGCACTCCAGCCTGGGCTATAAGAGCAAGATTCTGTCTCAAAATAAATATATAAATAAAGTGAACAATAAATTGGTTTTTAGTACAGAGTTCCACAACCATTTTCACAATCAATTTTACAAAATTTTCATCACCCCCAAAAGAAACCTCATAGCCATTAACAGTCACTTCCCATTTCCCTTCAATCTCCTCAGCCCTAGGCAGCCACCAGTCTACTTTCTGTCTCTGTAGATTTGTCTGTTCTGGACATTTCATAGTAATAGAATCATACAATACTTGTTTTTTTTGTGTCTGGGATTTTACTTAGTATGTTTTCAAGATTCCTTCATGTTATAACCAGTGTCAGTACTTCATTCCTTTTTATTGTTGGATAACACTTCATTGTATGGATGAACCACATTTTGTTGAACAGCTGATGGACATTCGATTGTT